GGCCCCGTGAAAGTTTTTTACGGGTAAATTAATATCTCGGGAACCACGGAGTCTAGGAGGCTAAAATTTTGGGGTAACGACCCACTGCTCATGCTCAACCCTGCCCGTTCAAATTCAGCCTTCCCGTACCCGTAAAGATATTCACCCTTCAAAGTTTCGAATTCAGCTTTCATGTGCTAATGCGTGAAATTTTTAACTGTTTTCCAATGTTTAAACTATTTTTGCGTAGACTAAAGTACAGAGCAGTGAAAATCATTAATAGACAATCGTTCGATGGGCTGAATTGCAAAACGCATGATCGCACCGGCTAGTCTGGTGCGCGTTGATATTTATTGTAATTTCCTGTTTTGTGTATTCATCATGGTTATCGTTTTCTTCAAAGAATGAATGTATTTGCAGCATACTTGCATGATGTTGCTGATGTTCTCCTGTATCTTTTGACTCCCACGGAGGATTTTCGTTCTCGACCTTTTCGTTTTCTTGTCCGAGAAGTATTTGTTAAACGTATTCTTTTGCCTGTTCTTGATATGCTCAGCGATCCTGATTTCATCAATCACAGCATTGTTTGGTTGGTAAGCAGTTTTGAGAACTATTATTCTGAACAGTGACAGATTATTTCCGCAGTTCCCTGTGTTTGAGCCACGCAGAGGGGAGGAAGAAATCATGTTTTGGGTGGCCCGGTTTTCTGTCCTTCTATAAGCCTGAGTTGGTATACTGATGGGGCTCGAATTTCCCAAAAGAAATAAAACCGGTTGTTACCTAACCGCAGTTTTATCTTCCGCACCTTGAAGCTGAGACAATAGTAAATATATCTTTTTTATTATTTTAAAAATTCTGGATTAGTTGTTAATAGTTTTCCAGCTATTAAAAGCTGACCGGAAATTTACAACTATGTAGCTACTTTCAATTGTTTTGTCCAGTGTTACATCGCCTGGTAGTCATCTCGCTAGAATTAGGTTATCAAATTTGCTGTGATATATTTAACATTATTTTAGAAAAAATAACTCTGCACTTTTCTTTTATTCAACATTCCATATAAGTGTTTCTAGAATTTGGCTCCTTCAAGTGTGGCCCTGCTCAACGATTGTCATACAAATTACTTTATTATTCTAAAACTTTGCTTTTATTCAGTTCTGCCAGCTCGGCTAATCGAAGACCATTTTGTCACTTCGGAGGAACAGAATAATTTAGCAGTAAAAAAAGCAAAGGTGTGCTGATTAACCGTTAGAACGGGGGAGGGTTATGGGATGTGCTAGCAGATGTTGGTTGCTTATACTTCCTATCCACTGATAGGTTTTTTTTAACATTTACTATATGTATTGCCGGTGATTGTTTAGTTGAGTGAGACAAACTTGAAACCAGAGGATTTTATAACGATACTTGAAACCACTGACAGTATGAAGATTTTGGATGCAGTGTTAGATTCGCTGTGCGAGGAATCGGCACATCTGCGAACAAAAGATTCTGGCGGTGAGCAGGGTTGGTGCTTTATGCTATTTTTTTTTAGGTTTCATTACATCGATTTGTTAGGCATTTTCTAGTTGAGATCTGTCACTAGCAAAGCCAAATGTTTTGAGCGATTATTTATAAAATCATAAGTCAATTTAAGATACACTCGAACGTGACTGGAATGACGGCGCTCTGCCAATAAAGGGCAGCGCTGCGGATGGCTCATTCCTTGGCTATGCAGTATTGGTACTTGCATATTAAGCTCAGGGTTTGTTGTGGGTTATTTAAATGAATGAGATCGGGCGAATTGTTTAACTACCGTTTTGCGGTCTCTCTGATTGAGAGATTAAGGAATTCTTTCCTATGTGTTGTTGATTTTGTTATTCTGCTCTTGTGTGGGTTCGTTATGGCAGAACAGGTCGCAAGGCGTGAATATTCTGATGAACGGTTTTTGTCTCTTTTTACATTTTTGTAGCTAAGCCCTTTGTAAATGCCGAGATCTGACAGCCCCCTAGCGTGTGCTACCATAACCCATCGAAAATATTTCGCAGTTAGACCACAGAATTTATACTTTCTAGCCGAAAGTGGTGTCATATTAGTCTGAAATCAGTCGGCTTCGTTGGGCTGAACGAGCTTGGTGTTATATAGTTTTGTGAGCTTGCCTGCCTCAGGCGTGACACTTCGGGGCTGAAAGTTGGCACTAGGCAGTATCACTTCAGAAGCCTGTATTTTTAGGTTTCTTAGTGAAGCAGCAACTGGCGAGCATTGACTATGCGAAAAATGTGATTAAACGACGCATGGAGGTGTTGGCAAGTGCGGCTGTTGAGAACGATTTCCAGAAGGTTTCTTATAAGTTACACTGCTTGCACGTTGCCATTTCAGAGCAAAGAGGCCACTGCCTTTGCAAAAGTTTTTTCAATTCGTTGTGCTGATGAGATGCTTGGGTATTTTTGATTACATATTTATGGTTTTTTGTGTTCGCGCAAATGCTAAAAAGTGTGCAGACGATGCTCTGTCTGTCTCTCACGTAGTTTCATTCCCACACTCGACTGGCTGGAAGGCTGAAATTGTCGGATCTTAGCCTATGGCGTTGCGCTGGTTCATTCAGAAGTCTAATATTAGCCGTCCATTTTACAACATCTCTTTCTAGAAACTTTGGTAAACAGATGCCATATTTGCGTATATGCTTCAGTAGATTGATCCCACGGACGAAACTGTACGAGGTGGGCTTGCCCGCAGTGTCCTCTCGATACGCAGCGCTATTTGCACATATACAAAGCGCACTGAGAATAAACGAAACAGGGCTGTTGATGAATTGCAGGTAGCGCAGAGGAATCTTCCGTCAGACGATTGCTCGACAGTGCAGTTGCCGATTCACGTTGTGCTGACCAACAATACGGCTGTAACTTTTTTTGCCGATTACCTCGCCTCTGTGGGCGGACAGAATTTAATTGATTGCTATCTGGCTGTTGAGGTAATTCATTTTCAACTGACATTCTGAGAATTTGCTTGCTCCTTGATTTCTGTGCCGTTGCTGCGGTCAGAAATGTTCGTCCTGCCCGCTTTTGGCGCTTGCATGCACCAACGACTTCAGAAAATGGCTTGGCATTATTTCGACCAAAGTCCTCAGTATTTCTTTGCTCGCCCAATATGTTTTTAATTTCTTCCATTTGCGAATAAATGCACTTTTTAGGGTTTTAAAGCGTCCGTGGAACATCAGTTGCGTGAACTTGCTGTGGGCGAGACGCTCGAAAATGATGTATACGAAACAGTCAAAGAAGCCGCCAACTTCCTCTACCAGCAATACTTATCACAAGAAGTGAGTGCATTTTAACTCTGTTAATTTCGTTTCACTTTTTGTCATACATTTTATGCCTTTCATAGCTGTCTTCGTTGTTATATGTCAGAAGCATTTGTTTTTCACATTTTACGAATGATAGAAACAATCAAAAGCGATGAATTGTGCCAGTGTGTGTGTGTGTGTGCGTGTGCGTGTGTGTGTGTGTGTGCGTGTGGATGTGTATGTGTATATCAATTTTTATGCGTTTCTGCATCTATGCAATGTAAAAACGCATATTGTCAAGGGGTTGTCTGTGTGTATATGTGCGTATGCACATATACACACAATGTATACATATATATATGCATATATATACATATATATGTGTATGTATGTATGTGCATCTGCACCGATTCTTCTCGGGATCCAGAAAAACTGCAAGGCTGAAACTTTGGGAACTTAGTCTACACCTATGTTCGGGCCCTTGTGCTCAAATTGATCACTCTCATCCATGTGGTACTCACGTGCGGGCACATGAAAGATTTGACGAAAGAATTGCTAACTCAGGAACCAAAAAAGCTAGAAAGCTGAAATTTTGATTGGATTTTCCTTGTCCACATAGAACTTAAAGATTTTAAATCCAGCCCTCAGGTGCGCGTGGCACTCACTTACGGACGCATGAAAATTTCTGGCGGGTAAGTTGCTAACTAGGGAATGGGAGAAGCTAGAAAGCTGAAATTTTAAGGGTATGTTTTCTGACAGTCGTTGTGACAGTCTCAATTTTTTTAGTTGAAAACATTTGCCGGAAGAAACGGTGTCGCTAGCGACAAAAACCTACGGAGAACCGTGCAAAAAACGCATCTTCGCACCGGCAGTCGGTGCCTGGCCAGTTATTGATTTCATTATTTTAGACTATAATCTAAACTGTGAATAAGATCGGCAGTTTCCAGGCAATAACTCGTGTTTCATTGGATGATGTAACAGTGAAGAGGTTTTTAACACACATTCGCAACGATGATCCTCCCGATATGTGGTTTGAACAAATACAGTCGAAAATTGTTGATATACTACGAACGGTTCGAAATATTGCTTCGGTGTCCGTGCTCAAAGAGTTGTTCTAGATCAGCGTAGTAAAGATGAGTTGCACAGACGAAAAAAGCTATTTACATTGCCTGGAACAAGTATGATGGGGCTGAGATAAAGACTTTTGTGCGCAGCGAGCGGACAGAAGTGAGGTGTGATGGGTGGGCATAGACAAAAATACTTATATTTGCTGTTTTATCTATGTTACGCAAAAAAGGATCAACATTTTTTGATCCCGGGGGAGCATATCGATGATATCGGACCGCTATATTGAGCTCTTTAGAAATGTTCATTTTTTTACCATCACATTGAACTCATGACCATTTACCGAATGAGGCATATCCATGCAGTTACACACATGCTTACTAATGCGTAAGTACTAAGATTGCAGACTTCCGTACACTTTTTGAGGGGTTTTTGTACACTCATGTCGAAGTACGTGTACCAGTTGGTGCGATGTTATTGCTGACTTCATATGTAGCAGTTTCATCCTTTTCACGCCACCATAACTGTCTTTGTTGCTTCCTGCAGAACAGCTTAATTTTAGGATGAGCGATTCTATGAAGCTTTCAAGAAAGATTTACTGTATGCGAAAATGCTCGCAGAACTTGAAGTGGGCGAAGAAAGCGATCGTGAAAAATCACAGAATTCGAATTCAAGTGATGAAAGCAATAATCAGAGGGTCACTTCTCTGTCAACATCCTCGGAAATTAAGGTTTTCTTTCCTAAATAAACAGAATCATTTTTAGAAAGTTCCCTTTCAAATGGGTTAATGAAAAATTTTCATGAAAACCTGATATCGTTTTCCAAGAATCAGGATGGCCGAATAATGGAACAGCCACATGTAGGGATGCATGTTGTTGTTGAAACTCTTGGCATTGGGCAACAGGGAAAGCAGACCTTTGCTCTCTACAATGTACGAGTTTCACGAATTGATGCTACCGGAAAGCAGTGCAGCAGCTGGAATGTCCTCCGTCGTTATTCGGATTTTCATGCACTTCACTCGCTTATCCAGTCTCGAGTAAATTTTCATGTTTTTAATACCTTTTTCCAGCTGAGTTCATTACTTCGAACAGAGAAACTGCCCGTCATCCGATTCTCTGATTTTGGTATAACAAAACAGAGGACAGACGGGCGATATCGGAACTTGAAAATTGTGTAGAAATAGTAACTCAAGCATCTCACAAAATCATTAATTTCTTGACATAAACGCCATTTGTAGTCACCGTGGTGTTTTTCTCCTCTAAGGCAATGAAAAATTT